AATAAATAATATTTGTGAACGTTTTGCTCAAAATGGAATGAACGATCGGTAAGCTGACAAAAATTACGGTCTAACAGAACCCGATTACCCATGCTAACTTTATTCGAATCCATTTTCAAGTGTTGAGCGCACGACTCTACGTCTTATAAACAAAACAAGGAAAACAACAAGCAACACAACACATGGTACTTAAACAAACGATTAGTTACGCGTTTGAAGTATTTAAAATAACCAAGAAACATATTGTCAATTTCGACGAAATGTTTGCTCGTGTGATCTATGCTAAAAGTTCCCTTCTGAGAATGGGAATAATTCCATACTAGTATTTTGACCAGTGTTAGTTATTAAGCACATGAAAAGAGGATTGTTTTATTAAAATTGCATCATATGAACTGCTTTAGTTAATTCATGTGACTCCACTATTTCGCTGTTCATTTTCATTTGGAACGTTTTGCGTTTCATGGGGGCATGGCTCATGTGAATATGAATTAAATACTAGTAGAAATCGTGAGGATAATAAATGCCGAGGAGCTAAACGTCAATGACCAAGTTGTAATTGCTATTAATTATCGACAAATGTTCTGAAGGTTTCCCTCAAAGGTGTGTAGCGGAGTTTTAAAACTATAGTGATTGTGACCTGATGTATAATAAGGATACCCAGACTTACTAGTTCTGAATGTTGGTCTGAATGAGATCTATGTGAAAAGTGCGACTTTTCTCTGTATGGAAGTAAGGTCACTAAATTTGTCCAATTTTGTCCGCTTTTTAATATATAGGTTCTGATTAGGTGCGTTCCATACTAACCGTTATGTATCCAATGCACAAGTGAAGTCTTCCAGTTCAATGAAATTATTTTATGCAAAACATTTGTTGGTACGCTGTTCGTTAATTTTTGCTTAGATAACGATGGCAGCTCAGTCCTGTTTAACTGATGACGTTTTGCTGGGAGATCCCCTACCTTACTGACGATTTTCGCTCAGTGCATTAGCTCCCCCTAAAATAACCGAATCTTACTGCAATATCCCTGAGGTTCTCCCAAACTTGGTAATGTTATTAGTCTAATCCTAATAATTTCTTATTATTAATGTATCTCTGTGAATGGTGGACTTCTGTTTGGTGTAATTGTCGCGAACAAACTTTAATGATCAAGAATTCTATCAACAAGCCTATCGTCACTGATCTCTTGATCTATCGATCCGATGAAAGAAAGAGTTTTGCTGCAGCACCGTCGTGAATTTACACATTGTAATTTCTCGTTCTGTTTAAAAATGAACCGCTTTTATGGGTTGAATGCGTTAGAGTTCGTCCTGTTCCCATTGTAGTATTCCGGACCGACCCCAGTTCTGAATCCGCTCAAAACACACTGGCAGATTCTTTCCGGGTAACGCAGTCCGAGTTCTTATACAATGAGGGTCTTCACAAAAGGCCACAAAAATCCCTGGCCATTCGCTGACGCTCTCAATACACGGGTATGGCACACTTCTCACTGTAGGTTCTCCGTGGAGGGGCTTCCAAAAGACTTGCAGGACAAGGAAAATACAAAAATCAACCATGAACCAAAAGGTTCAGTGAGACATGCACACGACTCACAATCAAATCAAAATTGCTGCGCCGTGTCTTTACTACACCATTTGTAGATGTTTCAAGGTCATTAGTTTGCTGATTTATGGCTGTCCAGTCAGTCAAACTATATGCTCAATGTGTGACGTTTGCCGATGTCAAAACGTACCAGCTAAAGGACCTAGATAAAATACTTGTTTGAAACTACACCTAACACAAACGTGATCACGTGAATGGTACGCATTCCATCTTTCTATATCACCACGTCTGAGATACAGAGAATTCTACAAATCCCTGAACTTGGTTGGATCCCCGATTGTCTTGATTGAACAAACAATTGTACTTTTTGACTGTTGGCCTCATACTAGAAGTCTAACTAAGTTCACTTTTCCACTTTCCCCCGTTATTTAGGGCCAAACAAACACAGATGTAATGCATGCAATGTGAATTTTTTTTCAAAGTGCGTTTTTTATTCATTGTGTCCAAATGGTTTGGTTGTTCAATATTATGGCCGGGTCTACTACTGTGGAGGTTCAAACACTTGCATTCCAAGGGTTTCGAATGGAGACAACAAAGGGAATATGCTGGCCGATGTGTAAGCTCGGTTTAGCTTCACAACACAATTTGTGTGGACTAGGTTTCGATTTATTCCGCTTTTTGCTATCCCTGTTTCTCCACGTCGAAACCACCGGGAATAGTGTTGGCGTTTTCTCATTGACGTTTTTATAGTCGTTTTGGAAATGATAGAGATTTGGGGAGGCAGACTTAGTAAACATAATTCGCAATCCTACCGTTGAGAACTTTTGTCTTATTGATTTTCAAAACAGCCCTGGTTACAGGCAGTAAAAAGATATGATTTGATGCATTGCGGGTAATAACCCATGTTCGTCAAAATTGAATTAGGTTTGGAATTATTATGTAAGGTATTGATTCGAGTTGTCATTGTAGTGTTTTGTAGCTATCGTACTCTCTCCTAAGATGACCAGGGAAACGACCATATGCACGAGCTCATTAACTTTCAAATACTACTAACTTCAAATATCAGTAAAAAAATGTCTTGAAGTTTCTATTTGCCTCATTCAGATTTGAATGAAAGCGAAGGTATTTTCCTAATAAAACATTTGTTGTTTATTGCTACTCGAATCTGGATAGGCAAACGCTGAGCACCATTGAATAACCTATGACATGGGTCATTAGGTCAGCAAGCCTTTCATGCTCCATGGAAGATAAAGACCTTCTCACCAACGGCATGAATAATTACAAGTTGAAACATAGCACAAATAATCTATGAACGTTCACAATTTTTTTTCAGCGGGACATATTGGGATTGCTCCCAATCCGACAACTGGCAACTAAATAATATTCAATGTATTGTGTGAAATAGAGTTTGCTTTCAATTACACTGTTCAATTGAACGTCAACTAAGGAGTGTATAAACCACAATTGATTACAGTGAGTCCACCCACGCAGTTTTACTGCGGCCGACATTCCACCGGATTTGGTTATTTGGTGCGAAGCGTCTAAAACGTACATTCCTATATTAAACCACTTATTGAACCACGCAATTCCACACTATTAGGGAACAAAAGTCAGTATCATTGGGACCAAAGATAAATTTAACTGACTGAGAAGGACAACTTTCGTTAGCGTGATGACGCAATTTTCCCAATGACACCAGGTACTGTAAATGCCCAGTTATTAGCATGGATATTACTATCAGTATTGCAAATAACAAGTCTCCTGAAAAGGCTTTCTAGGTAGGAAATTATTGTCAAAACAGGTAGCATAATAGAGAAGGACAAGAACCACAAACTATGGTCCGATAGAAAGCAATAAATATGATCTCTATAGAAATGTGTCGGCAAATCCACTTGAGTATTTTCGTCAAGGACCACAGAACCAGTTTCATAACCATATTATCCCTTCATGACGCGCTTCGACCTATACAGAGAAAAGTAAACTTGTATTGAAAGCTTGAAGGCGCCGTAAAATTGCCTCCATCTTCCTGGGTATCATCAACAGTTGGGGATCGAACTCGGAACTTACCAGGTGAAGTGTAGGCGCACTGCTGACCTGGTAATCAAACATTTTATCTGGTGTTTTTAACTCCCTCTGTACGGGTTATAACACAATTTTTTCTTCCTACTCTTTCTAGGAGTAACAAACGCTGATCACGTTTGCACTAGATAACATAATTTGCACTATGAATGGGAACCAACAAAGTCCCTAAAGCACTAAGGACTGCTCCCTTTGATTCGTACAGGATATACTCCATCGTGGAACCTACTTGTGTATTTTCAGTATGTTGGTCGAGAATAATCATTCTCTCTGCTACGAGAAAGTGGACCCATAAAAAGGAGCAGAAGATTTTGGTGAATATCTGAAGACGCATCTGAAGCCGAATTCCTAACACGTTTTCATACATTCTTACAATGTGCTGTTGGCAATGGATCCCGAAACAAATAAAAATAAACCGGCAACAATGGGTCCAGCAGCTAATTTGGTTGCTTTATCTGTGACGCCCAGCTCGTATAACATTAGTATGGTCATCTCATTACACCGTTTCATGCGACCATAGACACGCACACAGTTGTTTTGGTTTATCCTGTTTTCCCCGGGGTTTGCTCATTGTTTCTGCGTTGGGTTCCTGAGCACAGAGCTTAAAGTTGGTTGAGGTGAATCAGGCAGGTTCCCCCAATAAACTGTTATGTTGCCTACTGCGTTATTTGTTCTCTTTTGCGACCAATCACGGGTTAATATGGTCGATTGATTTTTTTCCGAAACTACCCACCGGTTACCGTAAAATGATTTTTTTCAAACGGATCTGTGGCCAATGGTCTCCCAGAATATTATTGTGCAATGATAGGAAATAGCAGAAGAGACAAATTCTCATCACTCATGTTCATTCACGCATTCAATTTGATGTGTTACCCTCCACTGTGTTATTTAACTACCTCCAGTTAATGGTAAGCGATTTTGAAAAGTGACATTGTTGCTAAGGTTGACGCAGTTGGCTAAATCAACATCATTACTGTTTGGTTTTATTTGAACAATCTTACCATAGTGTATTTTGTGAAAACCGTGAGTATATGTGTATGCACTGAAAGGTTTTGTTCCACTCTCAAATAAAATTGTCGCTCCTAGTCCCCAGAAGGATAGGAATCGGTGAGCGCTACTGCTGATTTCGAACACGAATGCAACAGCTACCACATGTTATTTATTATCCTTCACATCGACCTTTATCACAAATATTGTTTGATGCTAGTGGAGTATTAACAAACTTCCGAAAAATGAGGTCCATATCATAAGCTAAACACGCAAGCCGTGATGGCAGTCAAGCGTCATTGGTGAACTTAAGAGTACATTCAATAAAANNNNCATCTTGTCCTAGTTGCCACCATTCACCATTGTATTGTTTTCTCTCATCTACCCCATTACAGGTTTTTGAGAACGGAAACCTGGTCTATTTAGTAATGGATTACTTGGACGGGGGTGAATTATTCGACAAAATTTGCCGTCAAAAGTATTTCTCAGAGCGTGAAGCTAGTGCAATTCTCAAAGTACTGGCAAACACGCTGGAGTACTTGCATCAACACATGGTAAGCGTTCATCCCCTTAGTACTCAGTATTCTGCATTGCGACAATGCGTTGTTCAACTTTTCCCCTCCACTGGGACATTCCCTTTGCCAACTAGGATTCTCGCAAGCAAGCAGTTCACTCCGTTCACACAATTGCGTGTTGTGAATTATCATTGGTGAAATCCAATTGGATAAAACCTAAGATTAGGTTTCAGATTGTTGCTAAAAATAAGACACACTAACAGAAGATTTCAGACAAGCGCTAACTTGGAGACCGGTGCTCTCGGTTAGATCATTTTATATCGGCAAACCGATCATTATCATGGATTGAAATACAACTAAAGCCCAATGACTGGTTTGGTTTTGCGTTATAAAAATATCCCTGGGTATGACATTCATGTTCCTCAAATTTCGAATTTGTAATTATGGGCATAAATTTACGATATTTAATAAAAGAATGACCCACTGCCTCTCTCATTATTGCATTTATTCATTCGGTATACATAGTCAAATGTATTTTAGCGTGATTTTAGCTTCTCCGAACCAAGTATTTCGAATTCAGCATGCTGATTTTAAAAAGTTGTTTCAGATGTCAGTTCACTTTCAGTTTGTAAAACCATTAACCGTACACTTTCGTGCACCGGTTGCGGTCGCTGTCCTTTGGTTGCTCATTTGGATGAAGAACAGAAGAAAGACAGGAAAGTTGAAAATAGAGTCGAATAGAAAATGGAGAATTTCAGTGATCTACGGTTGCGATAAAATTGAGAAGATGTACGACACTCATCTGTATCAGCCAGTGTCTCTAACTATTGGGTACGATCATCCCGAGGTTCCCAGTCAGGGAGCCTACCGGGACTTAAGTAACCCTGTCCCCTGGTTAGGGATTTCATACCCTCTTACCAGGTCTTGGCTGCACAACTTTTGGCACTTTTGAAGGTTTGCTTTGTCATGTTAGGTTGCACATACCATCGCATACGTTTTCTTACATGGCTTAGGGCACGAAATAAAATTTGCTAATGAGAATGCAAGGCGAAATGAACACTTTCCTATCAAGTCAAGTCAAGTCAAGTATTTGCTTTATGCACCCCGAAAGGTGGACATTCAGCAGTCACATAGTCATCTAACAATTATCGAACAAAATTATAGCATAATTATCGTGAGCAGTGAAAATGAATACAATTTAAGAGATAACTGAATAGAGGTCCGAAGCAATGCTTTCTGCGCTGACAAGAAATCGGGCAAGATAGGG